ATTTAGCTAGCAGGGTAAATATTTAGTTAGCAAGTTAAATATTTAGCTAGCAGGGTAAATATTTAGTTAGCAAGTTAAATATTTAGCTAGCAGGGTAAATATTTAGTTAGCAAGTTAAATATTTAGTGTAGGAAGAGCTTAATTCACCCTAAGCTCTCTCCCCTACATACTGGTAGCTAGCAAGTTAAATATTTAGCTAGCTACCTAAATATTTAACTTAAATATTTAGGTTGCAACTTAAATATTAAGCTCGCTAGCTAAATATTTAACTTAAGTATTTAGTTTATAAACTATGACATTTATAAATGTATGAATCATATGGTGAAAAACTGTTATTTTTTTCTTATAAAAGGCTAAATAAAACAGAAATACTGGTGGTAATTTTTGACTGAGTAACTTTACAAATGGCAGCCCATAAAGAGGCGGTGTTTAAAGCCTCCAACACGGCTCTTACCCATTGCGATGGCGGTCTTTCCTGTGCCAGGTTGGCCAGCGATCAGAACAGCCCTGCCTGCAATGTGGCCATCTTTGATCATCTCCAAGATGACCCCTGCTGCTCGACGGGAGGCCAGCTGGCCCACCAACCCCTGAGAGACCTGCAGGAGAACGGGTTCAGGTGTCCTTCAGCCCAAACCTACCTGAGTGAGCAGCTCAAAAATACTGTGGCTACACTAGAGACATTAAAAYAAAACTTCACATTTTCTAAACATTTACATCTTGAAACTTAGATGAGATTATTTAACTGTGATATTTCTCTGCATAAAGACAATCATGTCAGGTTATATCAGTACAGACACCAAAAAACTAGTTACTCTGATAAAAACAGCACCTATACAAAGTACTGACCACCTTGGATGATTGATTGTGTTGTCATCATAAAATCAGTCAATGTGGTGTAAACTTTTTCTCATCCCTTTGTATCCATCAGCTCATTTGTACTTTTCAATAAACTTTTCTCACTTATTTCATATTTTATAAACAGCTTTTGTAATGGTTAAAGGACTGTACTTATATAGTGTTTATTAGTCTTATTTACACATTTATTCAGCACTCTGTGTCTCTAAAGCTAACCCAGATCAATCATTGTACAGAGACTAATCAGTGTTTTAAATCATTCAAACTAACAAACACACACTGGAGGTTCAGTGTCTTGCTCAAGGGAACGCTGACATATGAATGAATAGCGGTGGAATCAAACTACTACTGACCAGTGTTGTATAAAGTACCTCAAAGTGATATTTG